GCGAATCGCGTTTAGAGGTTCGTACCAAATGCGTCTTTCGCCAAGTTCTGCTGCTACTGAACACATACTGTTCTCTTGTTGTTGGAAGTTGTTGGAGCTTCAAAGTGCTAGTTTTCGAAGCCTTTGTTTTTCTATATTTTCTAACCTCCAAATTTTGGTTATTTTGTCAGCTATTTTATTTGTATGAAACATTTTAGATTTTGTTCTTCGGATAATGACCTTCAACACTGTTCCTTTGTTACGGAAGAAAGCCCTAAACGTATAAAGTTTGCCGTTGTACGAGATCCTATTGATAGATTCTTGAGCGGCTACGCTGATAAATGTTATCCGTAAGTAAATAACCTTTTATTTCGCAAAGTGTGAAACTTGCCAGTCATGCTTGTTCAGCAAACGTCTACCTCTTCCACCCGAGCGGTGCTTTGGTTGTGAACAAAACCTTAGCTGTTTCGTGGAAACACTACTGAGTAACCTTCGCAATATCACCCGAGATCCCAACGCAACTAAGTATATGGAAACCTCTCACTTTGCTCCCCAAACATGGTAGGCTATACTTCTTCTGCATGTTCGTTACGGAAGGTAAAGAGAAATTTGAAGATTTCCTGTTTTCTTCCAGTGCTTGATTATTAGTTTTTAGGTCTTGCAATTTTAAAGAGCATTTGCATGATTATATTATAATCAAGTACGAAAGCGGGCAACAAGGTATCAGAAATATTGCTTTCCAATTTGACGACATATTTCGGTTAGCTGGAGTTCCAAACTATCATCGATCTGAAATTCTTAAGGAGATGCTGAGTGAGTTTTGTTATGTGCGTCATGTGTTTTATTGCTTCCATCAGTTCCATTTCATTTTCCGCAAAGTTACTCGTTTGCAGTTGGAAAAACTATCCACTCAACATCTGGCACAAATTTGAGGCGACATGTTGAACAATTATTATTTTCAAATAGAACTCTGCTGCGAATGGTCACTCAGTTGTATTATTTTGATTTTATAGTGTTTGGGTTCAAATTTCCCAACTTCAT